AGGTCTGTGTACGGCCTTTGTATGCCACTAAGAGATGGCATTTTTATCAGACAAAGCATACTGATTAGCTGCATTAAGGGTAAAAAAAATATGATCTGACTTCTGTGACACTGTGTTATACAAGAGCAGCACATCATACTGGTAAGCTTCTGCCCACAAATATTACATCAACAACAAGTTAAAGCTGCTGTGTAACAGTAACATGACACTTTACAGTGTCATTCATTTCGTGCATGACACCTACAGGAAACATAAGCAGAGTCCTATATACTGTAATCTCTCTTGAATCTTCTGTGAAAACTTGGTTTCAAATCAGGAATATTTTTGTTTAAATAAAATATTCATGACTAAACAAACAGCTGTCAGAACTGAAGCTGGGAATCATCCTTAGTTGTTGTTTGTTGTACAGATTTTTTTTTGGCCACTTTGCAGCGGAAAAAACACCACATTGACATCGCATTTTAAGTTGTTTGAAATGGTGAATTTATTAGCAAACAGTTGCTTCTTTACACATCCAGCAGCATTTCTGTCCACCTCACGGAGTCCAATACTCACTCACTTTTAGCTGTTTTGTTCTCTAGCACCTCTTGAAGGAAATATCTGTCTCTTTAGCTGCTAACTGCTGCACTATGTTCACCACCAGCTAGTCAATGTGTCTGTCTGCTGTTAGATGCTGGGCAGGTAGTGTACAGTGTCAACCAAAATAGTAAAGTTGTGGACCGGACAGCCACACAATGAGCTGAAACTCACTATAAAGCTCCATAAATCTGAGGGAAGCTGTAGATTCAGGTGGTAAATCTCTGCATTTTCATTCCCTTTCACATTGTTTTCACATAGCAGCCCCCTGACACCGTTTGACCTGAATGGAACAGAGCCTTAATTAGTAAATCACTGGTAACACCTGTGTTTACCCTATTATTTCATGTAAAATGGCTGCTGTGAAAGAAGTCTATTATAACAGACTGACAGTACTGGAAAGATAAACAAGCAACCCCAACAACTTTCGTCAGAGTGTGATTGAAATTTAGCTAAACTCTCATTGGTGCATGGAGGTATGTGACATCAGCGTTTTCCAACAAAGCCCCACCCACTTCAAACCATGGAGAGAAAAACAAAGACAAAACCACAAAAACAGAAATCTCTCAAGTGAACATTATGTGGTCTTGCAGGAACCCATCGCTCATTGTAAGGATTCACTGAGAAAATACATTTTCAAGGAATTTAAGATCTCCGTCTTTCTCACACAGAAACACCTGATCATGTCTGTCTCTGGCTGTCTCAGTGTTTCTCTAAGCAACTGTGTGCCAGCTGACCACATGCAGTTTCTGGACAGTCTTTGTCATTTCACCCAACAGACACTCACTCCTTCTCGACTCCGTACCCCCACACCTCCTCCACCGTCTATTTTTGACCCTGTCCCTCCCAGCCTTCATCCCTCAGCCTCAACGCTCGGCTCTAAATATAGCTCAGGTGAACCTAACACTACAACACATGTAACTAGAGTTTCAACGTGTGTCCTACTCCAGGTTTAGCCAATTAAAACCCCTATAAATATGGATTTATTTGTCTGTATTGTACCTCTACGCTCGCTGTATTTATATACAAACACACTCTTGTTCACACTCGCTAATACATTCATGAGCTGCAACCATATGACAGCCTTGACTGAGCTCAAAGGTCAAAATGACACCCATAAACAACAGAGGTATGTGAAAGGAAAACAACAAGATGGTGGTTATAGTTGTCAACAATCAAAAACAGACCATTTTTAAAACACAGTTTTTCTTAAAACAGTACAAAGTCTGTATTTTTTTCACTCACCTATCTTACCATGTTGGTTTAACATGGATAAAACATATATAGGGTCTTTTTTGTATTTAGTTTTAATGCAATATTACTTAACTCGTGGAGTTAAATAAAATTTTAGGAGACTTGCTCCTAAAAATCAGGTACAGATGTTAATATGTTACATATATATGTTACAAATTGCCAGTGTTTTGGTTATAATAATTTTCAGTTGACTGATTCAGTTTGTCCTCTCACAGAGTGTGTAAGGCTAAATAAACTGCTACTGGTCTGCAACTACCTGCAGTTATCTTTATTGAGCAAAATACTAGAGATTATTCAGTTGATATATCAAACTTAAGTGTTCATATCTGTTTATATAAATTGGATAAAAGCCATCAAGTGCTTGTATTTGTAAAGTTGAAGTCAGTGTGTTTGATGTTTTTACTTAATTAATGTCTAATCAATCATGATAATTGGTATTGGTTATTCATGTGTCTTACTAAACTTCTCATAATTTTGGCAACAAGAATTGAGCAGGTTAATGATAACAGACCCCTTTGAACAGATACTGAACAAGAAAACTATAGAACTGTGTAAACAGGCAGTTACTCAACACTGGTCAAACCTACAGATAAGGTGAAACCAAGTGTGTGTGTGTGTGTGTGTGTGTGTGTATAACGGGAGGAATCTGTGGGTGTAAGATAAGGTCAAGTGTAGTCAAGTTACACTGAGACAGTTTATAGTTTGAATGTAAAGTGCATGAGGTAGTAATGTTCTTGTTCCAACGTATGACCTGTTCAGTATGAGAGTCACATCCAGTGTGTTTCAAGGTGTACAATGACAACAGTTGGACTCACTGTGTGTGTAAGAACATGTCTATCAATGGGACAAATAATGTTATTAATGAGGTTTTTTGTCTTAAAAATAAAATAAATTAACTCAGTTTTCCAATACCAGCAGTTAACAGTTTAACAGTTAAAATAATACAGGTTTCACTTTCACTTATTCATCCAAGATGGTCATGATTTTTAATTTACCTAATAAATACCCAGTGTGGGTCTCTACCACTGTGTCTGAAGGGCGTGCGTAAAAGTGACAAACGATAGCGGTTCTAGTTATGTAGCAGCCAGATAAGACAGTTTAACAAGATTTATGGCATCACGTTGCCATGTCCCATTAGTGGAGCATTTTAATTTGCCAGATGCGTCCACCTCTGATTTCCATTGTTAGTGCGTCTGTAAAACGTCTGTTGTCTGCTGGGAGGTTTTCCACAACTGCAACAGCTAACTTCTTTTAAAACTAAAACTATTATATATTTTCAGTGTTACATTTTGGATGTTATATGCACCAAAATGGTAAAACATGCGAACCTACTTTACTACTTTATCCTGTCGCCATCGCATTTTGCAACCACATTTTGGTCAGAAAAAACTCCATCAGTGGGAAATGTGTCTTCAGGCCGTTTTCCAGATGAGTATTTTAACGAACTAATGGTTTATAGAGGCCTGGGCTGGCATTAAACCCTTGGCATACCCGCTGCTGCTGCTGCTGCTGCACTCCCGCCCCTTTATGTGTGACTCATATCTCACTGACAGTCAAGCGACAATTGACAACATCTAAATCCTTATGCAGATAAACCTAAAAGAGGACAATAACTTTTTGAAAATAGGAATCCGCTATAGTTAGTTATTTCTTACCTTTATGTATGGGGCGGAGTGTGCAGAGTCTAACAACGCCTTTGGGTGCAGTGGGACACAGTGAAGGAGAAAGCAGAGACAGGCGGACTGGGCAGGCGCAAGTCAGACCTCCGGTCGAGGGCGGGGCTGTTGTGTAATTGACATTGAGCAAAAAAAAAAACTTTATCAAACTGCAGAGACTGTTGGTAAATGTTTTACACATGTACTAAGTGTTCACATTGTGAACATTGACGCTGAGGAGATGTTTAGTGCTCAGTATGGTTGTATAGGGTTAGGCCGATCTGCCGATGATATCAGTCTAATGATACTATGATAGGCTATTCATGGGAATTCATGTGTACTGTGAATTGTTTATTGTTCCTTTGATATATTTATTTACTACTTATTTATTTACACGCACCTATATTCTGCACCCACTTGTGTGTACATTAAAGTTCTTTGTTTATTTATTTTTTTAACTATTCTTGTTTGGCTTGTTCTCCTTGTTTTAGCTGTATGTCTATGTCTGTTTCTTTTGAGTCAAATTGCTTGTATATGTGTATACTTGGCCAATAAAGTTGATTATGATTCTGAAAGTAACGTTTTATTGTGATGGACTATTCATGTCCAGTATTTATCTATAAAATATTGTGATTATTTTGCCTATTACCCATTACCCTGAGGCAGCGGACCTTACATTTTCCAAAATACATTGTCACTTGAAATACAGTTTATTTAGATTTGTATACAATTTAGTAAATTAAAATGAGTTAATGGGACAGCTGCAACACAGAGGTTATTATATGCAGTGCAATCACAATTTTATTATATATTTATATTATTATAGTCACTGCCAGTGTGAAACAACAGTGAGAGGCACAACTGTGGAAATGCTGCTTTGTTTTGGTGTAATAAGACTCTTACACCACTCGGGGGCAATGACTTCTAGCATAATATCCCCTAGGATAAAAGGGTTTTTCGTGCCCTAAATTATTCTTTCAGGCAGACCTTAATCTCAGAATGTCTCCAGTGTATCTTTACCAGCATGCTCCAGCAATCAGATGGCTATGCTTTAATACAGGTTAGGAATAGTTAAGACGAGGGCCATTGTTGGGGGTTGGGTGTGACCGTCTTACTGAATTACAAGGGTTTGTTTTTTTTTGGCAACCCTGAAAGGCCACACTCAGGGAGCCAAGAGGACATTACACAGGGATTACAGCAGAAATACACCTGCTAGAACTCAAAACTGCCCCAAAGGCAGAGAGGAAGGCAGGTAAGAGACTAACTACCAACTGATTGGGTGTGAGTTATGTATTATTATGCATTATAGTTATTATTGATATAATAATCGCATTATTATTAGTCTAATTAACAGGAAGTAGTTAATGGCTATAGTCTCCAAATGAATGCGGCACAATGTTAACCGACATTGTGAAGTAGCAGGCTATTAGTAGGCTGTTATTGGTGGTCGACCGCTGCGTCTGTGTCTGTGTCAGGTGATCTGGGTGACACGTTTACGTTACTCCTGTCCGCTCTAGCTCTGCGCCGTTACCATGGTGACGGATATGCGTCGATACCTCGGCGTCATCGGTCTGCGTGAACGAAACCCTCCACGGACAAACAGGACGAGATATTAAAGGTAAACTCGTTCACTCTCGGTTCGTTTATGCATCATAATCGGTTGCAGTCAGCTTTGGTGGACGTGAGCGTTTGCAAATATGTGTTGGTGTGTTTTCGTTTTGTGAGCAGCAGTGCGTCGACAGAGCCCGGGTTGATAATCAGCTAACTAATAGCTAACTTTACCACAGGCTAATCGATAATATCGCGTATAAGGTTAGAAAGCAATGTAACGTTAAAGCACAGCGGTTTTCATAGCTGTACTCTCAAGAATGACTGATTTATTCATTCGTTCATTCATTTTATCCAGGTTATTATAGATAGCCACTAATGGTCTGTACTGATCAGCAGATACAGTTATATTATATTATATATATATATATATATATTAACACCAGCGGGCCTCAGGAAACCGCTGGATATATCTTGCTTGTTAAGTAACATTAATCAATTGTCTGTTTTTTATTGTTGTTTCCAATTTACAGCTTCAGATGTGTGAAGGACCTTCATCAATATCTGGGCCAATCCCCCCAGATCCTTCTCTGTTTCCTCAGTACTACAAACGACCTGCCTCAGGTTAGATGCAGCCACAGGCCTCTGCTATATTAAAAGCCTCCTTTAAGAGAGTGAAGTGTGTTATTTTCTAGTGATTCTGGGTCCTAAACTTATTATCTATAAGCTTAAATGGGATGTTTTGTTTTATTCGATATCACACTACACAACTTTGAATTATCGTGATATACCGTTATGGATGATAATTGTGATATTTAAAAATGAAATATTGATGTTTTAATAATACACATATGATAGTATTGTGTAAATATTACATCGCCTAAATCGAGGTTCACACTACAACATAGTAGGTGCACTTATGGCTGGTTGCCAGTGCAACAGGTGAGTGTAATTTATTTGCCAAAAAAGTGACAAAACACACAATAAAAGTTAAAGATTTCCCCCAATTGTTTGTTTGAATTGCAATAATATTGTTATGTTGAATTATTTTGGCCATGATGATCATTTTGTAAAAGTCTAATATTGTGACAGCCAGCATTGTATATATTTAAGTTCTTTTAATAAATGAGGGCCCAGATCCATCTTGTCTTCATGTGTTTGAACATTTGGAGAGCTCATTGTTTTATGAACCAAACATTAGCCTTAAATGACATGTTTAGTTTTTTCTTTCCTTCTACAGCTCGCGGCCGTTTAGAGGGTAACCACGATGGGACATTGGCGCTCCTCTCAGGGCCTCTCGCTCCAGATCCTGTCTTGTACCCTGGCTGCTACAGTGCTCGTACCCCAGCACATCGTCCCCGTATTAGCCCTAATGCCACCCATATTCTGGAGCGAGGACAGAGAGGGGTGGTAGGGGAACTACTCAAACTAGACGGTGTCTCTATCACCCCTGTTCCCAAACAGAGTAAGTGCAAATTAATTGTCTTTAAGGATGGTCTATCTTCTCATTTATAGTTTTAATTTTGATTAAGCACCACAGCCACATATACATATTAAAAAGTAATTTAAACAACATTTGTGATTCTTGACCCTTAGAACAGCGGGTACATGACTTTGGTAAAGAGAATGTGCGTCGGCTCAGGGAGATCCAGAGACGCTGCAAAGAGCACGAGGCTGAGAGAGCACAGTCTCGTCCGGTTCCAGTCAAAGCTCTTTGGACCTCCTCCAAATACCAGAACGTCCCATCCAGAGTGATGGTCCAGCTGCAGGTAAGGGGCATGTCTGTGAAAGATGGAAGTGCTTGAGTTATTAATATTTCCTCTGCATTACTCTTAATCCAGTCTCTTTCATGCAGGTTTCTAGTCCAACTGCAAAACCACAGTGTCAAAACTTTCTGAAGGCGCACTCTAATGGTGGATCTCCTGCCCTGTCAAGACCCCACTCAAAAACCTCTCCTCGGGCTTTGCAACGCAGGGCCTCCTGCAACTCTACACCGGATCAGAATTTGCAAGTGAGAATTGCCAATAAATGTTTACTTATTGATACAATAAGAGGTATATTATATTGATTTAATTTAATATTTTTTTCAGTCAAAGAAGTTGACAAGACAGCTGTAAGGCTTGCAACTCTTATCTGTTTATTAAACAAATAAGATGAATATGTATTTTTCTCTCTGTTGGGTATCTGCAATGTTTCCTTTTTGTTTTAATTCCATACATTGTTATATGTGGATACAGTTACAGGTGCAAGGCGAGTCCATAGACTTCATAAAACATAATGCCCGGGCTGCTGCAAAAACTGTGCTGCGTCGGTCCCAATCAATGACAAACCTCCAAGAAAAGCCAGTCCCCAGTGCAGTCAAGGGACAGGTGCCTCAGTAGTGAGTATTCTTATTCGATATCTTACCTTCTTACCTTACAATCACAATCAAAATCCTAATCAATTCAAAATTCGAGAGTGTAGTAAAAAATGGTGTGTTTTGACATTTGTGACTCCCTTTTTACTGCTGTTGCTCATTCCTGTTCTCATTTTCATTTTCATTCACTTAAACACACACTCAGTCTTGCGGAAAGGAAGGAGCAGTGGCATAAAGAGGAGGAGGAGAGGAGGAGGAACGCACCTGATCCTACAGTTCCGGCTGGTCACACCCTGATGCATGAGAGTGAGAGACAAGAGACACTCAAGTCCCTCAAAGAGAGTATGTGTCTGTTGCGTTTTGCCTCTGCCCTTACATGAATGATAGTAACATTATACCCTGAGGTACAACATCTAGTGAATATTTGTTTCTCTAATTCTGTTGTTTTCTTCTGTTTTTTTCCTCAGCCCATCGCTCCCTGGTGGCAGAGCTGCTGTCGCTGCCTCTCAAAGCTGACAGTCTAAGTGTTCGCTCACGTCGGACTCATCTTGATTGTAGGCTTTCTGAAATCGAGGAGGCCATTAAAATATTCTCCAGGGAAAAAGTTTATCTAAAAGTAGACTCCTAACACATATGAGGAGAGAGGTGGAAGAAGAAAGAAAGAAGAAGAGATAAAGCAGTAAATCCACCGCTTTATTGTGATTCATTTTCCTTTTGTAGTTGCATTGCGTAACGCAACACTGAACGTTGTAAAACAATTATTTTAATGTTAGGAGTGTTTTCTTTTTGTAACTTGAAAATTTTATATTTTAAAATGAGTGATTATTATATAAGATCAACAATCGAGGTTACTGATTATCAGTTACTTTAAGAACAACATACATGCTACTGAATATATGCAGGTTTCTCTTTGAAGAAAAAATTAGCAGATGCACTGTAAACGTAACAGCATAAACCAATAGCTCCATTAGGATTATCATCTGTTGAGATGATTTGTTTTGTCTTTATGTAAAACTGGCTGGTTTGTAATGATTTTTGTGAAGTCATATGTATATTTTTTAATGATTGGATATTAAAAATTGCACAAAGTCTAAATGTTTCAGAGTGCCAGTGTCGAAGTAGTTTTATTTATCTAAAGATGATCACGTCAGCACTTTGTGTACCTGTGACGTGTTACGCACGCCCCGCCCCCTTTACGTCGTTCAGTCATTCATTGTTCAGGTCGAGGTAGCTAGGTTAGCTTGTTAGCCAGGATTACAAAGAGCTCCCAACTTTCCACGCATGAACACAAGACTGTTTGAATTTGAAGCGGACATTTGAGAGTTTGTGAAATCAAGAATGAGCAAGAGGAAAGCGCCGCAGGAATCCCTGAATGAGGGAATAACAGACTTCCTTGTCGGTACGTGAAGACGATTGAGCTTAGCTAACAGTAGCTAGCACAACAACTGGGTTCTGTTTTTAGTTCAAATAATGTCTAAAGATAAAATATATGTAGTTTAATAAGTAGTAAGTATCCGTTAAAAAAAAGCATGCTAAATGACTTTTTGCTTGGAACTAAATTCCGTGTTTCTCTGCTGTGGTAGTCATTGTATTGCCATTTAAATGCCCTCAGTGGAGTTAGCAGTGAACTAACTTACTGAAGTGTGAGGTAAATATAAAGCCATTAATGTCCTCCTTATGTTTCCTCCTAGAGTTGGCCAATTACGAGAAAAACGTCAACAGGGCAATACACAAGTACAATGCTTACAGGTAAGCTTTGATGCCTCAGCAGTGAGTGTTGCTTTGTTTAGAGATGAGGATTTCTTCGTATGATAACAGATGTAATGCTATTAAAGCAACATATATCGGATACATGGAGAACATACACTCAGTTGCCAGTTTATTTTACGCGATTAGCTAAAGCCAATGCAGTCCGTGAAGGCCAGTGATCACTTTATATTGAAATGTTTCAAATATTAATAACTGTCTACCCTCTTTGACGTAAATGTAAACGCCTCTTATTATAATGCAACATAGTTAAAGAGCACTACAACCTACAGCCTCCTTAATGACCATACAGTTGAAATAACAGTGATAATAATGATAACCTACATGTAGGTTGGAGTTATTGCAAAGCTGTTGTCTTAGACTGCATTTATTTTAGCTAGGGGTACCAGATAAATTGGCAGCTGAGTGTATAATACATTTGATGTCATACACCTGAATTATACTTTATATATCTTTTTTTAACAATGTTTCTAATTCCCTGCCTAGGAAAGCAGCATCTACCATCTCCAAGTACCCTAACAAAATCAAAAATGGTGAAGAGGCCAAGAAACTGGTACGTGTGCACTGAACTTGGATTTAAGGTCTTCAGTTGTTGCCTTAATTAAAAATAATAAAAAAACACGTTGTGAATTAGTGACACAGTAAGTATGTGACAATTTGACCTGGTGACAATTTTCCAGATACGTTATAGCGACTACAAAGTGACACGCAGCAATGCATTGTCCAGTCCTGCAATGAATCCCACCTTTGTAAAGGTTATGATAATAAAGAATAGTTGTAGTGGAAGACAATGGTGCTGATAAACTGTCAGTATTGTTTAGTGTGTTTTTCAGTATCAAACCGTGATACTGTATGTGTATCATGGCACCCTTGTGCTTGTGGCTTGCATGTCCTTGTACGCATGGATACATCCATCAAACTACTGATCAAGAATTGCTTTATT